AAAAAAAAAAAAAAAAAATTAACTATTTTGGGAGGTAGGGGTAGGCGGATCACTTAAGCTTAGGAGTTCAAGACTAGCCTGGGCAGCACAGCAAAATCCCACCTCTACAAAAAATACAAAAATGAGCCAGGACTTGGAGGCTAACATGGTAGAATTACTTGGGCCCAGGAGGTTGAGGCTACAGTAAGCCATGATCACATCACTGCACACCAGCCTGGGCAACACAGCTAGAAAGATGATGTCTCCAAAAAAAAAAGAAAGAAAGAAAAAAGGAATGAGGATGAAGTAAAAGAAATGCAGAGATGGTAAGGACACTAAGGAAAAGCAGAACCTACTATGCATGTACAGAACCTACATTATCTGACAGAATATATACTCTCAGTTGAGGACAATGCCACTATTATCTCCATTTTTACAGGAGGGAAAACTAAAGCCTGAAGAGTTGGGAAAACTAAATTCTGATTTGTAGCCCTAGCTGCAAATCAGAATCACCAGAAAAACTTCAGCCATAAAATAAAGCCTGGGCCCAATCTCAGAGATTGATTTAAGTGTTTTGTGATGGGACTTGGGCATCCCAGGTGGTTCTGATGTGCAGCCCAAGTCTATAGATCATAACCAAGGCCACATAGGTGACCAGGTGGTTTACTGCCTTTCTACTACATAATACTAATGCCAAACTATGGAAATAAGTTTTAAGAGTTTGTTAACTGTTGCAACCAACCAACACAAAAGAACTCAAAATGCAAACTACAAATAACCAGTCAAGGCTTGGTTAATATATTAAAAAATAAAATAATGACACACTTGTATACTTCACAATTATAATCCTAGATAGAAACATAAAAGAAACCTCATTACCTGTCAGAACCTGGGTGAAATTCTGAAAGCAAGGAAGGTCGTCTTCGAAGCTGCTGCTGCTGCTGCTGTTGCTGCAAGAGCTGTGATGCCTGACTGACTTCAATATGAGAGGAACGATAATCAGGGACTGCGAACTCCTAGTATTAAAATAATCATAAATTAGTTATTAACTAAAAACTGAATAGCATCATGAAATCAAAGCAAGCATAAAGGTAGTTACGGGCCACTATGTATGGAAAGAAAAAGTAATGACTATTTTAATCCTTCATTGATCTAACTCTTCCCCTTAAAATAATCAACATTTTAACTATGTTATCATTAAAAATAATCCAAAATGAAATTTCAAGTTTAACCTATATTGACTCATTCCTCTACTAAAAAATTACGGTAACTCCCAATCTGTATTACTCACATCAGTAAAATCTCAAACTCATGTGTTCAATATGAAACCCTAAGAAGCATTCCAATATTATATTCATAATGAGTAAGCTGGAAGAAGGGTCACAGAAGTCTTATCAAATCCATTCACACTTACAATGAAGAAACTGGAGTCCAGAGAATTAACCTGATAGTTAAGAGTAGTAGTTTTGGCTCACACCTGTAATCCCAGCACTTCGGGAGGCTGAGGCAGGTGGATCACTTGAGGTCAGAAATTCAAGACCAGCCTGGTCAACATGGTGAAAACCTGTCTC